ACACCCATGCTGAGCAATCTCTGTTTCAAAAGTTAGCGCAGATGGCATTTAGGAAGTCTTCACTTCCTCTCATTTGTCTGTCGTCGTGCTTGGTATGTACATAAGTTTCCTTTCTATGGGCCTCACCTCACTTGTTCGTCGTCACTCTAGTGTTTTAGTTTTATCAACATGCATCGCTTGTCGTGACCAATCGATGGTAACCTTCGGTTTCAGTACGGATTGGGGATGAGGAATTGAAGCGCGCGCGAGGAGAATGCACGGGAAGAGCAGGAGAAGAAGGATGTTATGGAGCAGAAGAAATGCAAAGCAGGATAAGAGGCTAAGCGGATAGATGAGGAAGATGCTATATGTGAGAGGAAGGCTGAGGACGACCGGGTGTGCATGCAGGAGGAAGAAAAGGAGCGTGTACGACAAGCAGAGGAATTTGAGAAGGAGCCCCTATGTCAGGAGCCAGACCTTGAAGCAAGAGGTAGACTCACACACATCGCACTGGGGGAGGAGGAATGGAAACAGTAAGATACTCTTGAGGCAGAGGGAGCTCAGCTCGAAGCTGAAGAAGCTGATGACAAAGTTCAGACTTCATCACCCACCAGCGAGTGAAGGAGCTCGGAAATAGTCTCAACGTCAGTTCTCATATGCAGTTCATGCCTCAGGATGTCATTGACTTGCGTGGTCGTGTGTGGGTCAGTCTGGATGCTGTTACTGTGCCTACGACGATCGCTGCTGTTCACGAACTGGTCCAAAGCTGGCTGTTAAGGAGATAGCAGCTGCCGATAAGGAATCTTTCAATCGTCAGATAAGTATGTCTCGAAGTGGTTCTCGACGCGGTGACCACTGGAACCAAGAACACGGCCCTGATGGCTGGGCTGTTATGGGTGGCAATTCTGTTCCATGGGCACCTCCCCAGGCTCGTGATCTGTCGCAGTTTGGGAAAATCTTCAATGGCCCAGCCATGGGAATGGTGATGTGTTCAAGCGGCGTCTTCATGGCTGGCAAGAAGGACAGCAAGCAGGAGACACTTTCCCAGACGAATTCGGTTCCATGTGCTCAGTCAGAACCTGAATTCGCCGCTAAGGCCTCTACGAAACCCGGTCATTGGTCGAGTCAGAAACTGAACGTTGATCTTGATCATGCTGGCGTTTCTTAGCCCGCTGTACAGTGCAGGAGGCTCCTGGACCAGCTTCTTTCACGGTCCATTCATACTACTGAAGAGCATGCCACGACTCCTTCTGAAGAACCTTCAAGAGGTGGAGATCTACTTTACCAATCTTCTTGACGAGCATCGCTTCCTGGCTCGTGGACAAGCTGCTTGCGTCCACGCTCGAGAGCAAGGAGGCAGATGCAAGGTTGGTCACTGATTTCTTCGCGCAGGCTACGAAATAATGGACAGTGTGCACTTGAGGTCATTGAGGGAGGGTTCATGCCTATGGCGGAATTTTCCAGCAATATTGTCATTGATGCTCTCAAGGCGTTTGACTGCATGACCATTATACTCGAGGGTGCTGGATTCGAGAATGACCCTGGGAGACTCCAATGAATCTCTTCGAAGCTGGAGGATAGCGACAAGCTAGTCTCTCTCTTGCATTATTTGTTCTACTCATATCTCACATTTTCGATTCCATTTTTCTATGTATTGCATGTGTTCTTGGTGTTCTGCAAACTCATATATACATCTCACGGCACATTTGCGTTTGTCCTCTCTTTATTTTGTTATCATTCACTACACATATAGTGGCATGTAGGCCACAGCTAGGGGTGTGTCAGGTACCAAGATGATTTAGATTCGAAACAAAGACATGAACACTCAATTAATCTCTGGAGGGTCCTTGTGGACATGTTGGTGTTGCTGCCTGTTCAGTAAGTTGAGACATATAATGATGCAATAGCAGGCTCAGTTACAGCTCTATTTCAGAGATTTGACGAAAGGCTGGGAATGGCAGTGAGCCTGAGAGTCAGCTAATTGTTACTGGCCAGGTTGGCAGGTGCCTGGTGGAAAAGGGATGCTGACAATCCACTTGAAGTTCATTCTTTGGTTTTGAAGACAGCAGCTGGTGCTTACTAGGCATCACAAGTCGCCAAATCTGGGAGGTCTGTGAGGAGATACTGCAGCCATCTGATGATGTAACTATTCAGCCATACATTTTCATGCAGGTAAGCAGGTTGATGTACATCACTTAGTGGGCCCATTGGACCAGTTTAAGTAGCAGATCATCTGTTGTCAGCTGAATACTTTCTCGTCATAGAACCTCTACCATAGTCAGAATCATTTAAAATCATTCTGCACTGTGAATGCTCTTCCAAGTTACTCATCTGAGTCCTTCAAGTTGTTAACCATGTCTGTGTCCTTTGCATCTCATCAAACACTCACTCAATGAGGAGAGCCACTCTTGACCTCCCTATGCTACTACTGAGTGAGGTGAAATTGACAACAAAATCAAGCTACGCCACAGCAATATGATCACAAAAATCAAGCAAAATACAGCCAAGTCTACACAAGGTTCTGTCCTCATCCATCGCATCAATTCCATCCATGTCCGACCCATATAAAATCAGACATGAGCCACAAATCAAGGAAAGTCAAGGAATAAAACAGCCAAAATGAAGTCAAATTGCAACCAAATTCAATCCTTGGCCCACGAATCACCACCGCAGCAATAATTACGATGCTAAGATCCAGTCAAAATCAATCGATACCAAAGCAACAAAACATCAAAAATCAAATCAACAAGAAACAAAATTCCAACCTCTCCTGCAGCAAAAATAAAGGCGAGTCAAGCGATAACTAAGACACCAATGAAGAATATGTTTTCTGGAGAAAATTCAATTGTTGATACTGACATTGATAGTCTGAGCGCCTATCGTACGCACCGCAAAATATATCCGACACCACAGCAATAAAATCAAAAATGAAGCAAAATGAGATCCTGACCTTGGCCCGCCCATCTGAAATCAAGCAACAACATAGCAATCAGATCACAAAAATGAAGCAAGATGAAACCAAGACAAAATGAGATCCTGACCTCGACCAATGCGCTCAGTGTCTACCATGCCAAGATACGAGCGATACAATAGCGATGCAATCTCATACCACCACAGAAACAAAACAGCCAAAATCAAGGACTACCATAGGAACAAAATATCAAAAATCAAGCAAAATGAAGTCGAATTTAAACAGCATTCTGACCTCCACCAACGCATCGACCAAGACAAGCGCCACCCCAGCAATAACTAAAATCAAGCAAAGATACAATGAGATCCTGACCTCAGCCAGATGCCTCGCCCAATTATGATAGTCATAGCACAATGAAGTCAAGATCATGCCATCACCATAAGCAAAAAAAAATGCAAAATAAAGCAAAGTCAAGACAACATCAAACAAAGTCAACACATCATCCTCATACCTTATCTTTGCGCAAATGAAGCATCCGCATATAATATGTATCATCCGCTCACCTTTACGCACATCAAATCAAGCAACCAAGAAAACCTTGATAGAAATGTAGCATCTGTATCAAAATATACCAACCGCATGATCATAATCAAATCAAGGAAATGCAACAAAGATAGCAACCAAGGCAAATTCAAGTGCGTAATCAAATCAAGGAAATGCAACAAAGATACCAACAAAGATGAATTCAAGCACGTAATCAAATCAATGCAAGACATCAAAGATAACAACCAAGATAAATTCAAGTCCCCCCCACCCCCCACCCATGTTAGCTTAGTGTTTGGTGTCTCGCTTCATTAGGTTTCGGTGTCTCGTTAGTTTAGGCTTCGGTGTCTCGTTAGCTTCGCTTAGGATAAGGAACGTATTCTCTCGGTGTCTCGTTGTCTCGGTTAATGCTTAGAATAAGGAACATATTGTCTCGGTGTCTCATTGTCTCATTTCTCAGTTACACACAGTAATATGACCAACATCCCCCCAGCAGACTACAACTCAAAGTCAAGCAAAATCAACAAAATCCCCCCGATACCAATACGCTCTCGCTCCACTTCCCAGCAACAAAATCATCAAAAATCACAAAAATCAAGCAAAACCAAATCAAGTCTGCACCAAATTCTGACCTACCGCAATGCATCACCCAAGACAAGCACCGCCCCAGCAACAACAAAATTCTGTCCTCAGCCAAGACCACCATAGCAAAAAAAACAGCCAACATCAAGCAAAGTCCCAGCAACAAAAGCGCAAAAACATACAACAATTAAGCAAAATCAAGTCAAGTCAAAACCAAATTCCGACCTCAGCCAACACGTCACCCCAGACACATACCACCCGCAACAATCAAGCAAATCAAAACTCTGTTTTCAGCCACATCCACCACAGCAATAATCAAGCAAATCAAAACTCTGTCCTCTGCCAATCCACGCATCCACCGCAGCAACTGATGCTCAACAAATAACAAAAATCAAGCAAAATGAACTCAAGTCAAAACCAAATTCTGACCTCACAGACACATCTCTGCAGACAATCAAACAGCCAATATCAAGCAACATCACCGCAATAAAATCACAAAAATCAAGAAAAACAAAGTCAAGTCTAAACAAGATTTCAACCTCTCGCCCAAGACTACTGCAGCAAAAAATAAAGCGACTCGCACCACAACAATAAAATCATGTCAATTCAACACAAGGCTCTGTCCTCATCCAATGTATCACCCCAGACAAAGACACCGCCCCCGCCACAAATACAATAGCGCAAAAATCAAGCAAAATCATATGCAAATTCTGACCTCGACCAAAGTGTCACCCCAGACTATGATAGCAATAACGCAGCGGAATCAAGGAAACACACCAAGCTACGAATCAAGCAAATCCCACCCGCCCACCTGTTAGAGCTAGGCTATCTATATGAGTTGCTGGCTTTGGGTCCCATAAATTCCCTTCGACGGAATTTCTTTTTATGGGTTAGTGATGTCCTTAAATAGCAGAAAAGGAATGACCTCATTGATGGAAGAGGAATATCAGGTAAGGTTCGATCAAAATGGTTATGTAAGTGTATCAAAATGGTTAGATTTTGTGCTAAATATAGATCTAGAAGACGGAAAGAGGAATGGAATCAGAAGAAGGAAGAGGAATGCCGAGTGAAGGAATTCCTATATATGGAGAAGGAAAATGGAATAAGAGGAATGTGGAATTCCTCCATTGTACCTTATTATGTCACACAGGTGGCTTTCGACCGTACATTATCTTTTCTTCTACTTGGCCTGGACACACAGCAACCCACCACCTGATGTTGTTTATCTCAGAAATGTGTCAGTCAATCATAGTATTCATTGTATACAGGAGAGGGCTTCATCAGTTTGTGAGCATGACCTTGCCTGCTGCATGGTCCTTGAGACCCAGTGAAAATCGGACATGGCCATTTCCACAGGGTCGATGGATTTGTAACTTTTGTAGCCATTAGACTTGTATAGATGGACATTGAAGTTGTGCAAACACATGTTGAACGATATGTTCAACTGGAGGTCTGTGCTTCGCTACACTAGATCCGACTTCAGTGTTGTTCAACAGTTCCACTTGCCTGTGATTTGGAATCTTGATGAACCCTACTCTCGCCCTCTTCAATGCACATACTTATTTGCACTACCATGGTCCCTGACAAGTGCCAGTCATCTTAGCAAAATCTCACTCTTTCTACTGCTACACCACGGCTGCAAAGCTCCTGGGCAAAAACAGATTTTCCTTGTCAAGATGATGTGAACTTGTTGCCTTGGCTGGGTTATGCTCTGCGAAGATGAACACATTCGAAACAGAGCGCATATAGTCACTTGTTCGAGGGACACACTTGAGTAGTCAACGCATCAAAAGCATACACCAGCGCCAAAGTGCATTGTTATCTTTTTGCATATAGGCAGCTGACATCTCCGTGTGTCTTCAGCACTTTCAACTATCCCATTCAATCATACTTTAATCAAGGTCGTTCGACCTTGTAATGAGTTGTATTAGTGAGGCAATTCTATCTATGTTCGAAATTTTGTGTTGGAGTAGCTAGAAATACAATTTTTGTGAAAATACCGACTTCTGTGTGTTGCCAATTGCACTGGAAGGTTTAGTAATTGGTTCAAACAAGTTGAATCAACTCTCGCACTAGGTTCTTCTGGTCGAGTCTTGTTCTGTGCGCATACTTGCTATGTCTAACTGTGATGTATGCTTGTCACTGGGTCTCTTAATTGCTGGTGGCACAGATTTCAGGCCCAGTGAAACTGACTATGACGGGAGGAGTCGTCACAAGCTTAGAAGTGATTTTCCTTTTTAGTTACATGCTTGTTTATGTAATCTGATTCTTTGCACGCATTGTGCTTGCAACATTGTGTTGCAAAGTGGAATTTCCTTTGTTCTCTTTGCATCTCCTCTCCTTGCTTTATGTTGTGTGTTAACAATTTGCAGAAACATCGCCCTTCGGCTTATTTGTATGTTCATTATTTCAGAGTCTTTGCACTCATAGCTGTATTTCGATATGTAGAAGCCTCCCACTATTCCCAGTAGTCCCATCACCCAGCTGTCTAGTCCTGCCAATACACTTGAGGAAAAGGAGAA